ATTATTATTATGATGATGATGATGATGATTATGATGATGATGATGATGATGATGATGATGATGATGATGATGATGATTATAGTGGTTATAATAGCAACAATAGGCCTAGTAATAACAATAACAACAACAATAATAACAACAATAATAATGATAATAATATTAATGATGATGAGGATGATGAGGATGGTGATGATGGAGGTTGTGATTATTGTTGTTATTATTTTTATCTATCCTGATCTCTCTGGCCTCGTGAGGCCTCTAGAATGAAATTCGAAGACATTTTATCGTTGCACATTAATCTGAAACTCAGGTGCCTATTTTACTTTGACTTTGAGGTGAAAGTGAAGAGAAGGGGAAGTTAACTCACTCTGTTCGCCATTAGGGATTAAGAATACATTGATGAGATGAGCGTGCGGCCTTTCTCTTTAGGATCCCATCTGGAGTTGAAGGATGGGATTTGTTGGGATCTGATATCAATATCTTGTCATCTGGCCTATATTCAGTCTCAACGCTGTTCAATGTAAGCCTATAATCTGACTCCGACGGGCATGAATTTTACTTGGCAGATCATGATTTAGTCTACGAGTGAAATTGCCAAGTTGTAATCACGAGTTTCAACGAATGATTGCGACTGGCCATTTCACAAGTAGAATACATAATGGTCTAGCCTAGCCTAGCCTACCACCATAACGAATGTAATAAATTCTTATCTTATCAGGGTTATGTGAGTGTGGCATTTCTAAAGATCATGACAGCACTCTCAAAACAAATGCTTCGTGGTTTCGAGGTACGTGACGTCATTTGTCAACACGAACAAAGATGGAGGATAGGGTTCAGCTTTGCGACACCTCTACTTACTGGATTTCTGATATCTCATTGTATTAATATTTTCAATACTATTAACATCGTAGGCAATGATTCGCCGTAAGTGTTTCAACAAAAGTCCCTTTTTAGAAAAGGTTGCTATCTTAGCATCCATTGTTGTCTTTATGTCTCATGTTTCCACAAGCAAGGGTTTCCTTACTTTCAGCGAGTATGCTCTGAACTGTTCACAGTTTTGTTCTTGCCGTGAACAAAGCATCGACACGCTGATGAGAGAATATTTTCAGAAACATAGTGAGCTAATGGGTGAGAAGTATAGGCCTATATTTGATCAGGACGCCTCATCTGACTATGTTGACTTTTTAGGAATGGCCCTTACAGTGCTCAATAAAATTGTGGAAGTCACTTGCATTGTTGGTGACGGGAAACCCCATAAAGTTTCTTCACTCCTCAACGGTATTGACAGTTACAGGTATACCGCACTGGAGGTGAAATGCCGTCTTAATGAAGAATTAATTTGGGATGTACCGACTTGGCAAATTTCTGTCAACATATTTGCCAGTGAAAATTGTCGTCTTCTTCCAACTGACTCATCAAGAGGCATAGAAATACCCATGAATCTGTGGATCATGGAAGTCTATGGAGGAGGGGATAGTCTTTTCGAAGAGCTGGATATAAAGTATACCATGAATACGGTTGCTTTCCTGTTGGCTGAAACTGGATCCACCTCCATACCCAAATCATGGGAGGGGAAATTCATGCTTTCTGCTAGCACCATCTGCCTGCATAATAATAATCTGAAAGTATTTGAATGCCCGATTCTGTTCGCAAAGCATCTAGATACTCTGAATTTGGGTGGAAATGAACTTACTCGATTTCCCGAATGCATACTGAATACAGATATCATGAGTGTTACACATCTTTCTCTAGCTCACAACCTTGTCTCTGACTTAACTGCCCTGTACGAGGTCCAAGAAAGTGGAAAGAGTCCAGGCATTGCTATCATTGACCTGAGTCATAATGAAATCAGAAGCATAGAAACTTTCAGAGACATGCCTCTACTCACAACCCTTGACCTCAGCCATAACTTTATCAAGGAAGTCAACGATGATGCCCTTCTACTCCTGAAAAACTTAGAGTGGCTCTCCTTAGCGCATAACCGCATACACACGTTAGGAAATTACGCCTTTGAAAAGAATATAGCTTTGTTCACTGTAGATCTAAGCCACAATGCGATAGTAACTGTGACACCATCGCAGTTTCCCCCCAAACGGTCTCCGATGGACCTTAACCTTCGGCGTAACAAACTCCGCCACCCACCTTTCCATGACTGCGCTAACAAAAAGTTGTTAACCATGAATATTAGGATGCTTGCTTCCGGTAACCCCTTTCACTGTGACTGCAAGGCGCTTGCCTTTGAGAAGTGCATTAGATGGATAGAGAGCGCAGAAGGAAACAGATCCATGGCGGAGAGTGTTTTTATGGACTTTAAGTTTCTGCAGTGCAACAGCCCGAAGAGCATCAGAGGTCGAGGGTATGCAGAGTTATCGTTTCACACCTCGTGTATTCAGGAAGACGACTGCCCGCCTGGGTGTGCGTGCACCGTAATGAAAACAACAACACTGCTGGTGAATTGCTCAGGCAACCACCTCATGGAAATGCCAGACGCGATCCCGACTCAACCGAACAACTCGATCGTGCTTTATCTCGACCACAATCCACTACAAATGCTCTGCTACCGCTCCTATCTCCGATTGCTCTCGGAGCTGCACATGCACAACTGCCTGTTGACCACTGTGACCCCGGCCGCCATTGCTGCCCTTCAGAACGTGCGTGTGCTCACTCTCCACAACAACCTGCTGCAGAAGCTGCCGTCCAGCACGCGCAACATCACGCTGAACCGCGCCAACAACGTGACTCTACACAACAACCGCTGGGCGTGCTCGTGCGACAACCTGTGGCTGCCCCGCTGGATCACGCGGCACCGCTCCGTGCTCTGGACTCCCGGCAGAATTGTCTGCAGCTATCTGCGCAAACCCGTGGAGGAGTTCTCCGACATGGACATCAACTGTTCCAACTCCTCCTACTTGGACGTGGTGCTGGCTGCTTGCCTCGGGATTTCCTCCATCGTTTCAACGCTCGTCATCGTTTTCTACTACCGCACCGAGATCAATCAGCTCATTTACTCCAAGCTCGGCCTGCGATTCTGCAACACGTTCAACTATGGTGACGTGTTCAGTCCTTACGACGCTTTTGTCTCCTACAGTCAAGACAACTATAAGTGGATTGTGGACACGCTGGTTCCCCGTCTAGAGGGCGGGGAGAAGAAGTATCGGCTGTGTCTCCACTTCCGGGACTTCCCAGGCGGGGAAGCTGTGGTGGACAACATTCCATGGGCCATCCGTCTCAGCCGCTGCTCCATTCTGGTTCTGAGCCGAGACTTCCTAGCCAAAGAGTGGTGCATCCTTGAATTACGTGCAGCATTCCAGGCAAGTTTTTTTTTCATTCTTTGTTCCTCTTAATTAAACATTAAAAAAATATGTAACACGTCACATTTTAACTGTTAGTCAATGTTATTTAATGGAATACCATTTCAAGCCTGCCTAGTTAGTAAAACACCTTAAACGATTACGAGGGATATAAGGAAAACGGAAGAGGTTTGAGACAAAAACAAAAATGTATCTACAGTATAACACGGATAGGTCGAACACAGAAGACTCGAAATCACGCGTCCGTCGAACTGTGCCTGCGGTCCCGTTTTTTGTTTGTTCCTTATCTTGTAAGATATCCTTCGAGCAAGGGATCTCTTGAACTACCGAGGCCAGTCCCGACGAGTTCGAGCTTTTTATGTGGTATACATATTTATAACAAGGCGCCAATCCATTCCCCGGCTGCACAAGCTTCCCCCGCCCGACTCAGGTCAAGGTCACGATGTTTTGATGATAATCATGTTGACGTAATCCCGGGCTCCTCTCCAGATGGAGGTTTGCTCTATTTCTGTTCAGAGTTAAGACTACTTATATTTTCATCCTTATCTTTTCCTTTCAAAAGTGGCCCTTAGCTTGCCAGGTTGTCGTGAACTACAAACCAACAGGTCTTCAGATACATTTTATGTACAACACTTTCCCGTCTTAAAAAATAATAAATATGTGACATTTCAGCGTCTGCTCCTGATGGCCAACCGCCTGATAGTCATCGCCACCGAGGACATCCAGATGGATGAACTGACACCAGACCTGCGCGCCTACATCAGTGCCCACGAGTACCTCCGTGTCGGGGAACCCAACTTCTGGGACAAGCTGGAGCTGTTCCTGCCCCCACCACGCTACTGCCGCAACAATGGTCAGGCTTTTTTCTGGGGGTACACGCACACACGCTTCTCTCTCTCCTCTCTTTCTTTCTTTCTATCTTTCTCTCTCTCTCTCTCTCTCTCTCTCTCTCTCTCT